GCCATAAATATAACATTTACTAAATTTAAACATAGTGGTATTTAAGGAGAGAACATATTGCGTGACGACAATGATAGTCTGGTATGGTGATAAAAAAATAAATTACATTAGAATCTTCATTCCCTGTGGTAATACGTACACGTACAATGAAAGTTTTGCCGATTCGTTTTTATTTAGTCTACATTTTGGCTGATGTAAATGTGACGTTCGATTAATAGACAGTACCTTCTTTTCAACTGAGCTGGTTTTTAATAAACAGCTACTGCTGTTATAATCACAGTTGTATATTTCCTTCTAACGTTTATATACATAATGAACTTTCAGTAGAAATTTTTAGTGTCTTCTACCCACCTGGCAGTGTTTAACTGCCTCCATTAATAAAACTAAGTAAACCCATTTTAAACTATGAAAAACACCTATTGTAAACAGACAGGCAGATGAAACAAGCTAGAGTTTCACAAGAAACCGCAGCACAGGAAAGAATATGAAGCAGTGAAATGATGAAAATACGAAATGAACAGTAAAAATAATAAGCTAATAGTAATATAAAAAAGAGTAAAGGTGCATCAACTATACACTATTTTTGAACTGTTACCTAAAATATCTACCATACATGAGTAAAAATATTAACATGTTCCTCTCTACTGGAACGAGAACGGCTACACTTCAGTGGAAGACAACCCTATAGATGGAAAAACTACTTTTCAAGGCCTTATCACGCCATGCAAGTTTGATGAAATCAAGGATGCAAATAGAAAGACCCACTTGTAAGCTGTGCATGATGTGCTTCTGAAAGTTAAGTTGTACTAACAGTCAGGCAGATGTGATGGCAATGAACGGATCCCGTTACGTCAGCAACACTCACAACGCTTCCCTGTTATCAAAACTGTATATTTTGTTTTCCATTGACGGTGATAATGTCCTTTAATCAGCAAACATCAGATTAACCAATAATTAAAACCAATAAAATCTCCCAAGACGCCACGTAATTCACTTAAAGTAGACATCTCTGTTGCTTTATAGTTATGCAAAACAAACCACTTCAGAATCTAAATTACTTACTAAGACATCAACTTTTCACAGACCAGGCAGTCAGAAACTGTTTACAGTTCGATTACATTTAACGAAGTGAGTGACTGGTTTAACATAGAACTTTGCACCGATGTGCAGCAGTTCTAGTCGCCACACTCCATGTAGCACATAAAGCAAGAGAAGAGAGTAAGTAGAGATTCAAAACAGAGATAATAAACAGAAATATGAGGCAAAAAGAATAGTAGCATGGAAGGACAATACAATTTTGTTGGATATGACAAGTCACAGAGGGTGAATTCATCTGCGCCAGCCATTGGTTTTTACCATCCTGAGGACTCAAACCAGGAAGTCTACACCTCCCTACGTGACTGGCTTAGACTAACTGTTGTGGATTTCATTAATTGATGAAGCCATATTTTGATTTGACTGGCTCTTTCCCAACCTGATCCTATGTCAGCTAACATCGTCCGTCGAGAAAGGCAGGCGGTAGCTAGCCATGCATGTGTGACACATATCCTAACCATCTCAATCGGTGTAACTTCACATCTTCGTCGATTGATTTCCCCTCCTTATCTAACACTTGACGCCTAACCTCAATATTGCTAACCTTATTATACCCCTCAACACGAGAGATAGAACGCAGACGCCTATTATTATTTTTTTTTTGATTTACAGCTTGATTCCACACCGTATTTTCAGTACAAGTGTGGAATTTTCAGCATGGATATCGGTAGCCCAAATTCAGGCTGACCATAGATATCGGGTGTGCGTCGGCAGCGGATCGAACCCCGGACCATGTGCATGGTCGGCGAGAGTCATAACCACTATGCCACCGACGCAGATAGCCAGCCTTCTCGTGTCTTCCACTTTCAGTGGCAATGTCTTGCTCACAGCCATAAAGGAGGATAGGGAGAACTGCTGAGCAGTACAAACACCCTTTAGTCGACAGCCGGTGGCACAGTGGTTAGGACTCTCGCCGACCATGCACATGGTCCGGGGTTCGATCCGCTGCCGGCGCACACCCGATATCTATGGTCGGCCTGAATTTGGGCTACCGATATCCATGCTGAAAATTCCACACTTGTACTGAAAATACGGTGTGGAATCAAGCTGTAAATCAAAATAAAAAAATAAATAAAATAAAAATACCACGTCTACTAAACCAGAGATGGCGTAATTTGGCGGCATATGCCAAACGAGCCTTCTATATCCGTGCTGACATTTCGTTAGCGATCAACCCGTTGGGGTTGATGCAGTTTAACGAAGCAGATAAGTCATTTGACTATTCACTTTCACAACAGGTTTCACACCACAAACCTTTTAAATTATTCATAACATGCAACAAGTCATAACGTACGAAAGAAAATGACGTTAAAATATGCAATCAATCAATGTAAGAGCAATATTTGTCATGATTTACGTACACATTACACTAATATCTACTACTGAAATGAGATAATCTAACTTAATAATACAAATGAAAAGAATATGAAATAACAGAAATTCAATAGTGAACTTATCAAGCAATTAAAGTTCATAAACAGAATGAATACAAAACGATTGACAAAAAGTCAATTTCAGAGAATAAAAGAATACAATTACTTCAATCAGTAAAAGTTCATCTGCTTTTCTTCACATGTAGAAAAAAGAAAACTAATAGTATTGATTGAAACAATGCTGCTACACTAAAAACTTATTCAAATTAACAAAAACTAAAGAAGTTTCTATGTTAAAACAATGCTTATATTCACCCTACATATAGTAGTGCAGAGAACACAACTGAATCAAAATGTTGTTAATGGCAACACCTTAATATTCACAAAATTAAGCATTTCAGCAATACCGAACAATTAAATTGCTCCAGTATAATGACAAACGAACATCACAAGCTAATACATACGAAAAAAGACTGAGAAGTATTCACCTTAGGGATTCAATCGAATGGTACCTGCAGTCCTGCTCAACGCTTTTGAAACTAGGCCTCTCCAAGCTGGGGATGTGCGGTGATTCTGAGAGTTCGGTCATCGCAATCTCCGTAAATTGCTTGCAGTCTATAGCACTATCATGTGACTCGCACTCTAGTAACGTGTTTAGACACAGAGGAGATACATCTTTCAATAAGTGTTATCATCTTGGGACACCAGGTTCGGTGGCTCAAACACGCACTATAAATGTCTTCCCAGAGGCTACCATACAGCCTAATGCTTGTTAGAGGTGGAACTAGGTGGTTAAAGAGGAAGGGTGGTCAGCCTATGAGATGGTGTCATGGGATGAAGGAAAGTTGTGTTAGGTTAGCAGCTGCTGGTGCGTCACATCTCTCTAGGCGGGGTCCGAGAGGTAATTAGAATTAGTGGCCGGAGATATCATCGCATACGGTTGAGAATCGTAATCAGTGTCGAATATGCTGCGATTTCCTCATTTCCTCCCTTTCTGAAAGTAACATGATGCGATGAACCATCCTTTCAATGTAGCATTCAAAGGATGGTTACCTATTTTCTTGAAGTCACTCATTTACTCTATTTTTACTTTCCTTATATGTTTTATTATTTCTGTATGGTGAGCATGTTGTACTATCAACGCCATGTAATATCACTACCTCAAGATTCGCGTTTACCCTAACTCTTTTTCTTCATGTACTCATTACATATAAGCTTGAGTATTAAATTATACATTAAAACTTGCTGAATTAATGGTGTCGTTTACCATATGAAATAGCAAAAGTGTATAGATTCAAGATTTAGGACCTTTAGTATGCTTTTCGAGTAATCGGTATTAAACACTACCTTGGAAAGGAACGAAATGGAGCTATCCTTGTTTTTACCGACCATAGAAAGTTAACAAAAGCACCAGTTAATTAAAACACGCACAACTATCTTAAGGTTTAAATGTTCGACACAATAGCACACATAGTAGACAAGTATATGATTATCATAAGAAGTCAAGTTTCTATTTCACATATGAAATTGACACCACCTAGATCAACAAAAATATCATGTTACTATAAGTCCTATTTTATTTAATACAAAGGACTTTTACAAAATTTACTTGTATGCATTTGTTTCAGAAAAAGTTCTCACTCTCGAATATGATGACGAAATGAAGTTTACATAGAATTAACAGGAGTAAAATTTAGACCCTTTCGTGAAGTATAAATCACTACTATATGCGTTCATATGATACAAAACTGATAAATGAATGATGTTTCGAGCTCACAATTCTATCACTGTATTCACTGAACTTCCTAACTTGCTTTATACAGTTCTATTTCCTTAGGTTTTTGGATACAATTTCCCATATACCTGGAACACGTGCTGTGTTGGCTGACGACTTGATGAACAAAGATCCAGTGATTAACCTCTCTTCCTCTCTAATTAACTATTGTAGGTGTTCTTCCCTTATATTTTAGCACTATGGAGACTTTAAATTCCTCACTAGTTACATTAAGATTATTATTTACAATACTCCTTTAATTTTTCTTATGGGTTCTTATATATTTTTGGATGGATCCTGGCAGGTAAGTAACGTTTCTTTTATACGTTTGATTGCGGTATTTAAAATTCCCGACGCAGTGGATCTTACTTACAAGGTATAAAATTTAAAAAAAAAAACCGCTAAAATAAGTAATTTGCAAAATCTGACTGCTATGAATGCACTCGCATACTAACACACAAGAGTCGGATAGGGTAAAAGTATCAAAAGGTAAATATAGTTAGCTGGAAAGAAAGATCAGTCAATGTGTGTTCATAGAATCAGCAACTAGGAGGAATGACATCACACCAGTTCCGAACATATGGAAAATTGTATTCAAAATTACGAGGAAGAACTAGGTGAAGCAAGTATCACTACATACTATAGTGAATAAGAGTAACTGAAATGAAGTTAAAACAACTTATTGTTATAAATTACTAAAAACAGTTGACTACAATGAAGTCTAACTTCTACTATTATTTCCTACAAAAAAAACTTACCTGACCAATGTCAACTGCATTTCCATGACTGAATAAGACCGTATAATTTGCCTGATGTGATGAATCACCGTAGAAAGCTGGATGAGCAGATCCATATTTGCCCTCATCAATAAGAGTTGGACAACTAACGCTAAGTGCAGGACTTCTTACTCTTGATTGTGAAGACAAAGCACGACGTGACGATAGGTTCGATGAGAACTGTGAAGGTGACATAACAGAATTTGCTGGTATATGCATACAAACAATTCGAGACTGACGTTTTGTAAGCGTATAAAAAACCTAAAAGAAAAGACAGATACACTATAGTACAATAAACTTTGCGCTTTTATGAAACGATAACAACTTTTTCTAGTAATCGAAACATAAAAAATGTACATATTTTCACCCTTAGTGGAACTCAGATAACAGAAGAGTTTATAAGAGTTAAACTGAATACAACTGATATTTTCTATGATACGTACATTATTCAGTAACAGTTGGTTTTAAGGAATTTTAATTTCAGTGAGAAAAAAAAAATCGAGCTGTAAATGTTCAAAATGGTGAAAACTCAAGCCGTAAGTATTCAAAGTAGATTACCCCGTAACCCAGAACTCTAACACAAAGATATTCTTGAGTTCATCTAAACAAATTCACTACGTAACTTACAGTAGAAAGAAAAGTTATACCAAAAGCTATCACGAACTAAGCACATAATCAGTCCTTGGTATTCTACATATTCCACAACCTAAATATTACCATACGACAACTCAAAACACCTACGAAAATTTTTCGTTTTATTTGTATTTGAGCAATGAAAACAAGCAAAACAGAAAACAGTCAGTCTGATCACATGAGGCCAACTCACTCAACCTATAATTTTTTTTCACTGCGTGAAATTCTATTTTCGACAAATTTTTTTTCTTATCTATAATAAGGAAATCTTTTTAGGAAATCTGCAATCAGAGACAAAACTTCTGTTTTCTTCGATGTGGATGAAGTCAACTTTTATAAAACGGAAACAGAAAATAGCTATATCAAGAATGTAATTATGCACGTACGTATGAACACACTTAATCAGCACTTAATAACTGCACACAAGTCAACGATAATACAAAGCCAAATCTAGCATAAATTCTGTTCACTAGATGATGTTGCGAACACAACTTATCGTTCATAAACATACGAAATGTCACTACACAATTCTGAAACTTTGTATCCGCTTTTCTGGTCCTTTAACTTCTTTTTTCATAGTGATGGTAAGATGTTTCAGATTTGCGGGACAGGTAGTGAATCATCCCAATAAAGTCCATCCCAAACATCATCCAGAAAATAATACTGTAGTACAATGTGATACATCGAATAAACAAAGTAAGATAAGGTCTTAAATATGACTTTGCACAGAACCACATTTTGTCACCTGCATATTAATTTGTAAATGCAAAGACCGCATTTACCTTTAACCAGAAATTTCGATCTAACAATAAAAATCTCTTAAAAGCTAAACTTTATTCGAATTAGAAGTTAATGTTCCTTGACCGAATGAATTTCATAGAAATGAATGTATGACGCTTAAATGACTACATGGTAACCAATGGAGAAACTATTACAAAATGACTGCAATTTTGTGAGGAACTTACTGTCAGTTTAGATTTTAAATCTTCAGAAATCTGCCAACCAGCTTCGGGTTTGAAATCAATGCGGCAGGTTGAATCGTTAGCCGACGTGGTGATAGAATAAGTCGGCGGGGGCGGCAAGAAGGCCAGCTTTGCGACAATATGAGAAGGTCGCGGAGGACAACAGAAAAGCTGGCATATCTCACCAAAAATACTTGACATATTAAGCATGTGCGGTTGAAAGGGATTTAGGACAAGCAACGACAGATCCAAATAATAAACTTAGATATTTTAGTCCTGAAAAATTAAAATACTGATAAAATTAAACTATATAGAAAAGGATACAATGAAAAAAGAAAGACCGGAGGTTCCCAATTGGTCTTCTAATTTATACCTATAGCTATATAATTTAAAGCTAAACTCGGACGACTGAGAAATGCTAGACAATATATTGCAATTTTCGAAGAAAAATGGTAAAAAATGTGCTTCCATAAGGCCTCTGTGATTTAATAATTACAACCAAAAGGTGAATTTGCAGCATATTGATATCGCATAGCGAATACAACAAAATAAATGTCTGGAATAAGATCAAGTACATTTCCGCGATTCGTTAAACTGTTCACCTCAGAGAGCCTTTCATATACTAAATGGCTTCAATCGCATCCATATTGAAAATAGCGACAATCTAAATCTGTTGGAGGAGTGAACACTGTGGCCCTGATAAAGTCAAACAGTTCAGACTTAAGACCTTGGTGAGCGTTAGCCATAAAAACTCAAAAATGATAAATTATAACGGACAAGCAAAAAAATGAGCTTTTATAATACATACTATGGATTAATTCAGGCAACCGTAAAGCAACTATACGGGTTTAGACACAAGTAAGTAAAATGTTACGCACTTCCATTCAGATTGTGAGGTAATATGGGAACCAATATCTCGAAGAAAGTCTACACAAATATCGACAAAGAAACTAACTTAAACACAGCATCCGAGTAAACTCAAAGTCCAACTTAATCAGAACCATTTCCAAAGTTCTACAGAAGATAAACACCAAACGCCAGATTGAAGCCGAAAAAACTTAAGATTCGAAGATTACTGTTAATCTTTATTTACGCTACCCTTATACATAAACTCAGAATTAAAACATATGCGTCTGCGCGTCAACGTTACAAAGGCGATAACATCAAGTGAACAATTTTAGCTATAATCCGTACGCGATATAGATCCAAAACCAGTCCGAATAAAACACGCGAAATTTATGGGATCGTTAGCATGAAGTGTTTACCAGCAACGACCCATACATTAATATTTTCGAAAAATATAACCGTACTTTCTATGAAGCACAATAAAATATACCACTTAATCAGACAAGAGATATTCTCAATTTTCGGCAAAAAACACTGTTAGTGATTTCATTTCAATTTAGTAATCACTCACCTAGAATTCATTAATCAAAATCGCGAACTCCGCAACCTACTTTGAAATCCGCGCAAGTTAATGTAATTTACTAGCTCAAGGACAAATCGACACTAAACGAACAACAAATTGTATGTTCTGTTTGCAGTTTGTCACTTCTAGTAAAGCGTATTAATAAGGTCCTTTCGGCAAAGTTAAATTATCACAGATGAAACCACAGTGTTCCTGAACCACCTTTCAGAATTCACACGCATAATTGTTAAAAATGCGATAAATAACATTGAAAACCTGATATTGTACACTCTATTTTAGCTTTGTGTTGTAACAGTGTCTCTAAGTGACTACACAGATGATCCTTTGATACATCATACCATGCGCAATATATGAACTTAGTCAAGTTACTGTATGAGTTGCCGCTTTGGAACCTATTGACAATTCTGACACAAGTCCTATACCGAATATTAAATTATAATTTATACTATTATTCCCTTTGGTTCCGAGTGGAACATAGGTCTTCAACAGCACATCCTCGTTTCGTCCTGTTATCCACAGTTCTCTTCACTGGCCCCACCATTGTCTACAGACTCCCATTTCGCCTTCACACAATCTCCTCCATGTCACTTGTGGACACACCCGGGCCGTAGTTTCCCACTCGGGTTCCACTAGAGGGTCTGGCGTGAGATGTTATTCAACAGTCTCCTCAGCGTGTACCCGATCCGTCTCCGTTTGCTTCAAATTACTTGTTGAGCGGCAGGTTTTTGGCTGGTTCGTTTCCAGAGTTTCTTATTGCTAATCCCTTCCGGACATCTGACCTTCAGTATGGGGCCAGCGATAAAAGTCTGCAGCGACCTGTTGGAAATGCTTTTCGTGGCGCGCTGGCCAAGTTCCCGAGCCATACAGACAAAATGACTTAACCTTGGTGTTCCAAATCCGAACTTCATTCCTCTTGCTGAGTGCAGCAGATTCTCAAGCTGATTTCAGAGTGATGAGGGCCTGTCTCCTCTTCACAATTATGGTTTTGACATCATCCGTACCGTTGCCTGTAGTTGAAATGATGCTTCCTAGATAAGTGAAGGAGGTGAGCTCTCTCAAATCTGATCTGTTGATAGTGATTCGTGCTTGTTGTTGTCGGTTGGCTATCTTCATCACCTTCGTCTTCTTTATGTTCACTTGAAATCCTGTCTTTGCCACTTCTGTCAATTTGTTGCTTTTCACCTGTATATATTCGAATTAATGTGATGCGAGGCATAAATTGACCACAATATACAAATATTCCGGAGTGTTCTTGTTAGTCCGACGTATGGCCATCTACTCACTCCTGACAAACTGCCGTATAATCTAGTCCACAAGAATTAGTGATATCACCGGTGATGGTGGTCAGTATCGTGTCACAATTACTTCAACTTCAAAGATTTGATGGGTTTTCCGTCGTGGATTGCTTCATCTGTGATCAGGCAGTGTTACCCATAATAGAAGAAAACGACATGACAATCAACCAAGGTGCGATTCGGAGGTGGAAACAATAGAGTCACTCGGGGGTGGCGTCATTGACAGTAACGGGATCGCACCCATGCCCAAAGGGGTGGATATCATCAGGCAGTATCCGTTACCGACTTTTTAATAATAATAATAATGTATTTCATATAAGTTTACAAATTTACATGAAAATGCATGCCATTTTTACAGGCACGATCAAGTATGATATAATATCAAATCGTAGATTGTCTACAAGTTAATCGTATTTCAACTGTTAAATATTCGATACATATAATACACTCATTTTCTGAATTAGGCCGTACAGTTATTGAATTGTACAGTTGTCCTCCAGGTTGAGCGGAAAAATCGACTTCGTTCCGTTTTCATCCCGTGGTTGTAGGCATACGATAACCAACCAATATTGAGGTAAGTACACCTTTTACAAGGGATTGGAATCTGTTTTAGAAAAATTAAAGTGCTGAGGTGAATCATTAAACTGTAATGAAATAGGTAAGTGCAAGTGTCATTAATGAATGCATTAATAAAGGAAACACCCTAGGGTAACAACATTCATTTGCAATGTATAATGCTACAGATATATCACAAACTATCATGATATCCACTTTTGGTTTTAATACAATTATCCTCATGCCAGTTGATTTTATTTTATACCTTTTTGTGCATTTAGTGCACAACCGTACCCTTCAGAGAGTAGGAGTATAATAAGTAATCACGCGCGCTCCTTGAATACGACGTGCATTTTTCCGTCTAACAGGAAATATCCACTTTTGTGAATAATTCGTTTGGGAAACCTGATCTTCCTATCCGGCGAATTTTATTCAACCATTTCTTCTTCACCGAGCCTGTGTTTGGTACTTCCCACTGTCTCGAACTACTGCCCAAGCTTCAGGTGCTACTTCTGTAGCAACATCCCCCTCACTCTTTCAAATATACAGGACTTGTTGGTCTGTTACGTGATTGTTGTGAAGCCGAATAACCCGAAAGTTACAGGTAAAGTCAAAAGCTTTTACTTATATACTTTATCTTTCTGTTCTGTGCTTTCTACTGTCTTTTGCTGTCAGTCTATTGGACAAAACTCCACTCTCTCTTATCATTTAATCATCGGTATTATTTTAGGAGTAAAATGACTATAGATTCTCATCCCAAGATAAGTAATGGGAGACCATGCACCGTAGTCACCAGAGCTTCAGCCAAACTAAGCAAACAGGTGAATAGTATGACACCTATATCCACAGTAGGCCTTGAAACAAACAGGAAGGCCAATAAGAAACGTTCACGACGTCGCAAGACGACGAAAACGTTCCCCAAGAAGGCAGACGATTGCAAGGTCTGCAATTCTATTGTCGAACAAGCAGACTCTGCTTTTGAATGTAACTTTTGTAAGCAATGGGTACATTGTAGATGTGACACCGGAGTACCAAAGGTATATTACGATTTTATGCGTAAGAACCCATGCCCATGGTTCTGGTACATTTGCCCAAGTTGCCGTCCTAATGCAGCCTCGTGTAGTTCCTCGAAAGCTACAGATGTCATAGAGATATCAGGAAAAAACGTGAAACGTTTCACTCCCACCAACTCAGAAAACAGCACAATTGCATGTAAATCGGGGACACCAAAATCCACACCGGTTATACTTGCAATTCCTGCCATAACTGCCCCAGACACAGAGGTTGAAGCACCAAGGGTACCTGTCGCCGGGAAAAGACCCTTACCGTCCACCGGTAAGAGTGGCCACAGCACTGCGACACATAATAATACCCAGTTGCACCAGATGAAACAAAACGGTCTTAAGGGGGATGACAAATGTGCGAGGACCGAACCTAAATCCACGGTCAGTCGATCAAACTGCGTTATCCTCTTTAATGTACCAGACTGTAGCAGTAGTCTGCTGGAAAACAGGGCCCTGTTTGATCAGGAACAGTGGTCCAACTTATGTAGCACACTGGGTCTGGACATCCAACCAGTAAAACTGTGCAGATTGTATAAGGGCACTGCTGCTCCTCAAGGCAAACCATCCCCACTGAGGGTAACACTAGGCTCTGCCGAAGATGCCGAAAAAGTTTTATTGACTTCCCAAGTCCTTTCTATAGGGAGGACCTGCAATATACGTGTTAGGCCAGATAGGCCATGGAAGGAAAGACAGATGGCGAGGGAGTCGCCAGAGCTCATTCCTTCTGCCTCTATGGTTGTTCACGGCATTCCTGAACTGGAAACTGGGAACGCTTGTGAGAACCACTGTCACGATGTCCAGCAATGGAGATAGTTGGCATCCCAGATGGGTCTGGGAAGTTCAGGGGCTGTCTCTATTTTTAGACTGCCTCGACCCACTCAACTAATGTCAATTAACACCCCACATCTGTTAGCTGTTAAGTTTAGCTCCCGAGACCACTTGACTACTGCTCTCCAGAGATGGTACGAGACCAAAGACAAGGTCAGCAGACACATTCGCTGTTGCGAGAGCCGGCCTCGTACCCAAAGGAGAGAGCAAAACGTTGTCATAGAACATCCCCAACCCCTAGTCACAATACAGCGGTGCAGCACGGACGATGATAGCCAGTGCCATCCAAGTGCTCCGATTGAATCAGAAGAAAAAACTCCAACAGGCCGGTTCCCGGGGAATCGGCCAACTAGTTCGTAGGATAACTCCTCAACCGACAGCCCACATCACGTCAACCACCCCCCAATACGGGGACGTGGTGAGACTGACTACCAGTTGCCTGTACAGTAATGTGAGAGGTCTAAGAGGCAAAATAGCTGAACTTAGATACCTACAATCACAGCTGAACTCCAAAATCATAATACTGACGGAAACCTGGCTAACCCCTACGGTGGCAGACAGCGAAGTCAGTATAAATGATATGGTCCTTGTCAGGCGAGATAGGGATCTGAAAGAAGGAGGTGGAGTCGCCATATACGTCGACAAACAGCTCAGATGTGTCCATGCAATCGACCCTCCCCTCATTGAGCTCCCTGACTCCATATGGTGCCATTTCACCGTTGGGTACTGTAAGTATCTAGTGGGCAGCATTTACAGATCACCTTCATGTGGAGCAGACCACAACCAGGTACTGCTGAATGCAATTTCAGCGACACATGACATGGGTTATGATCAAATTGTCATAGCTGGAGACTTCAATGCCCCATCTCTTAACTTGATGACGGGATGTGCCCAGGACAGATTTGATCGAAATCTGCTGCATACCATCACGGAGGCCGGATTCACCGAAAATGTCAGAATGGATACTAGATGGGGCCCAGATGGGAAGTCTTCTAGACTGGATTACGTGCTCACTAGTGACCAGCTACTAGTGGAAAACGTTCAGATCACGACTCCCATAGGTAGTAGTGACCATGCGGTCATAACATTCGACATAGTCCTCCGCGAGCGTTTACAGTGGGACAATACACAGCCCTATCTGTGTTATAACAAAGCCAATTACACCGAAATGCGACGACTTTTGTCTGAAGCAAATTGGCCAAAAAATTGGACAGAGCTTACAGTAGAAGAACACTGGAGAGTGGTAAAGGAGATCATTCACCAGGCGATCTCAGACACTGTTCCTTTGGTCACACCTAAAGCTAGAAAGCAAC